AAATATATATATATATATATATATATAAGAATATATAAGAAAGAAGTATCTTATGCTCACCAAGGCTTATTTAATTGAAAATACTGTGCAGTTTAATATTTTTGTGGAAACTGATCATTTTTATCAGGATTATTTGATGAATAAAAGATTGAAAAAACAACATTTATTTGAAACAGATAATTTTTTTCTAATAAAGCAAGTCTTGTCAGTTTTGATCAGTTTAATGCGTCCTTGCTAAATCAAAGTATTTATTTCTTTATAAAAAAATACTGGCTCAAAATTTTTTTAATATATCAACGAATTTCCATTTGTATGTCAGATACAAATCTTTTAAAATAATAGCAATTAGCAAATCAACAGACTCTGACTTAAAAACTCTCAAAGAGCAAAATTTTGCATATGTAATATTTAAATTTATCTAGTCCATGAAGAAAAACATATTTACATATTCATTAGAACGTTTCATTAATTTGCCTTGACTTTTGTATTTACTTCCATAACATTTCCAGGCCTGGAAAAACATCTTAAATGTTTACTTTTGAAAATTGCCAGATATTTTCAGGTATTTCTATGACTGAGGAACTCTTTTAAATTTGTACTACATGGCTAAACACAATATAACAACTATCAACATACACCGCTACACTAAAAATCTGACTTTTGTGCTAAACAAAGCTGCTGTTTACTACCTGTGTGGTGGCTAGTGAGCACAGAGTCAGTTCAAGCTTGCAGAGCAATGCTTTCCATGTGGCTCCAAGTAAATGGCGTACATGTAGGGGTTTATTTGCAGGAGATAAAGGCATTAAGAAATGATTTTACAGGAACTCAGTGAGATGAAGAACTTGTGTCACTATCTATAACAGAACTAGTGTGGCTCTCTGACCTGTACTCGCAAGGAGATTCTTCACACATGGCGTGAGCTTCGGGATCAGCGGGAGTTTCCTCCTTTTCCTTCACTGCAAAGAAAAAAATGCAAAGATGTTATTTATCATAAAATATCATTATACTATTCTGGGAGATTTGACTGCAGTGAAATTACAACATTCAAGGAGAGTGCATTGTGTATCATTTTCTCAGTTGCTTTTGAAATTTCTTGCCTTGATATCATTTAAAAAATGACATTGTTATTCATAAGAGATAATATGTTATCCACTTGTTTTGCAATTGCTGAGCAAACATTCAATACATCATATTCTCCAAATTTGGGAGAATATTTTCTATTTTGCTTTGTGGAAGCACATCAAGGACACTGACTGCCTTTTAGATAAACTACTGTGTGCTAGTAAGACATGGTCTTACTGGAGAAAACTTGAATTATTTTCAGCTTGGTAAGTTATAAATAACCTATATGTAAACAGCCACAGTGATGTAAGAACAAAGTGTTTAAAATGGTCTAATAATGCCTTAAGATTTATTCCATAAGCTCCATAAGGCTTCTTATGCATTTTAATGCATGCAAGTGTCTGTTGCAATAATCCAGTCAGGACATAATTTGTTCTTGAATCCATTAAAAGCATTTCATATTGGTTAACTTAAATATACATGTGAAGAGCAAAGGGAGACCAGTAGGAGCAGGTGAGGACAGACCAATAAAGCTCACTGATCTCAGGTTATCCGTCTGACACTGCTAGTAATAAGTCTATGGGTTAGTGCGACAGAGCCACACAACACAAAGCTAACAAAAGCACCAAGCTAAGGTGTAAATGCTTTGACTGCAGAGAACTGTGAGCTTGGACAGAGGTCTGTGTGACCTCTGAAGCTGTTTGTGTCTTACCTGCGTACTTGCCGCCTTTGTTCTTGAGCACAAAACAGCCGATGAGGACAAGCAGAGTTAGTAATGCCACCGCACACATCATCACTACAAACCACTCCTGGGATGCCATGAGTTGTTTACTAGGCACTGCAAGGACAAGAGAGAGTTTGTTTTTGGAAAAATTTGATTCATGTTGTCAACTTGAAAATATGGGAAAATAACAGTCTTTTTGGGTTAGAAGAACACATTTCAAATGGCGTTTTTAAATATGGTTCCTGTGCCAAATTCTGATCTGGTTTGTCAAATGAGAACAATTAGAACACAAAGAGTATTTAAATGGATCATAAACATTTTAATTACTTGAAGTGTACTCCTTATAGCAAAAATAGTTAACTTCTGCACATTTGATGAATTGAACACATTTGCCACCAGTTCTCTGGCATAAATGGCTCTTCTGAGGCTGTGGGTTTGCTGACAAATTTAAATGATCAGGAACCCAGTTGCAAATAAATTTCAGTCACTTGTCCGTCGGAAGCATATGCAGAGCTGTAGGTGCTACATCTAGCAGTCATACATAATTCAGTGGCATTTTCATTAGTTCTTCTGGTGTTTATGAATAACATTATCTACCCTACTTCCTCTGTATTACCTCGCACTGAATAGATGGGCCAAGTTTTTGTCAAATATAGAGTAGGCATTGTTGCCGTGTAGATGTTGGCCGTTATGTCCAAAGGTCTGTCTGTCTGTTTGATATCAGAAAGTTGCAGGTAACAAGCTGTTCCCTTTCAGTCGGTCACTCTCGACATAACGTCGGTGACCGACGAATTGGGATCTCACCAGAGAGGCCAATCCACTTTGAGTGTAACTAAATGAGCCAATAGACATTGGCATGCGGAATTCGCATCTGGCTGCCACACCCCGCAGCGCGGGTATAAGAAGCAGCAGGTGCACCGCATTTATTCATCTTTTCACTTCGGAGCCGAGCGGTGGTGAATCACTACTGCTCTTCTCTTCGAGTGATTGCAGAAAGCGAGTGCAGGCGTTACAGCAGACAGCAGCAGTGGTCACAGTCTCATGGGAATCATCCTGCGTGCAGACAGCCACACCAGGAGTGTGTGGTGGCCAGCTCCCCTGCGTGTTTCAGCACTAAAAGAGCAATCCCTAAAAGAGCAACACGGGTGATCGCGTCTTTTTAAAGATGTCTCATCACCCGTGTGCTTCTGGATGTGGTCGTTACCTGGCACCTTAGGACGGTCACGATCGCTGCCTCACGTGTCTGGGCATTAAGCACGCTGGGGAAGCGTTCGTGGATGGTACCTGTTCTCTGTGTGGGGACATCTCGGAGTTGCATAAAAGACTCCGCTACGTCAAACGTGGCGGAGTCCCTCTGCCTCTGACATGATCCAGCGTTCGTTCGGGGCGTAGCTGCTTTGGATGGTGCCAGAGGTGATTTGAGGATCACGGTGAGGGCTTCTCCTGAAGAAGTTCCTCACCCCTCAAGCGCTCCGCAGCCGGTGGAGCTTCCGGAGGTGCGCGCTGGGCCCTCTGCTGGACAGAGTGTACCGCCCGTATCTTTCGGTGCTTTGGGGAGAGTGGCGTTGCCCGAGTCAGACTCAGAGATGACGGCTATGGTTTCCCGGGCCGCCGAGAATGTTGGGCTCGTGTGGAATCCTCCACCGCGTTCCGGTCCTTCGAGGCTGGATGAGTGGTTCGTCGGTGGGGGGCGTGCTGGGTCTCAGCACCCCCCTCCGGCGCCACTCGGATGAGTGGTTCGTCGGTGGGGGTCGTGCTGGTTCTCAGCACCCCCCTCCGGTGCCATTCTTCCCGGAAGTGCATGAGGAGCTCACAAGATCCTGGAAGGCACCTTTTTCTGCCAGAAACAAATCGTGCAGCTCCTCCTCCCTCACCACCCTTGATGGTGGGGCCGCTTTGGGGTACACGGGCATTCCCTCGGTGGAGCGGTCTGTGGCCATGCAACTGTGTCCCAAGGCCACTACCACTCTGCGGGGTGACCCGTGTCTCCCCTCGCGGGCCTGTAAGTATTCGTCAAGTCTAACTGGCAGTGCTTACAGAGCTTGTGGGGAGGCGTTATTGCAGGTTCATCAGTCCAAAGCCCTGAGGGACCTGCACGAGGGTGGTCGTGACCTAACGGTTCTACTTGAACTGCGTACTGCGACAGACATCGCGCTCCGAGTGACGAAGGTAACCGCACAGTCTCTGGGTCGTGCGATGTCCACCTTGGTGGTCCAGGAGCGCCATCTCTGGCTGTGTCTGGCCGATATGAAGGAGCATGATAAGGTGCAATTCCTGAATGCTCCCGTATCACAGACCGGCCTTTTCGGCGACGTGGTCGAGAGCTTTTCCCAGCAGTTCTCAGCGGCGCAGAAGCAGACTGAGGCGATCAAGCACATCATGCGCCTGAGGAAACCTGCTGTTTCCACTCCAGCCGCAGCCCCTAAGCCTGCTCGTCGCCGAGGGCACCCCCCTGAGTCCGCCCCCGCTCCCATGCAGTAGCAGCAGCCTTCCACCAGGCAGTATCGTGAAGCCGGCCATAGGCAGGACACCCAGCCCATCCAGGCCACTGCCAAACCTGGCGGCAAGCGCAAGTGCAAGAGGCCCTGAGACGGACGACCCAGAGATGGAGGGGACTGCTCATCAGGAGATGGTGACCGCACCACTCCCTTCCCCGGAGGACGGCCGGGTGGAGAATATTTTGTTTCATTTTGTTTGTGTTCCACCGCTGGTCCAGCAGCCAGCGGTACACAAAACTTCAGGAAAAGAGACGTTTCCTCAGTCTCTGGGTCCCAAGAGGAGGAGAGTGGTGGACTGTGCATCACAGGATCACTTCCCTCCTCCTCTTTCGCCAGCGGGCAGCAGTGGGTTGCCCAAGAGCACCCTTCCTGCCCATTCGTGGAACCAGGTAAGGGTTGTAGCACTTAAGTCCCCGCTTCATGTCGTCACGCGCCGGGCTGTCGTCACACGCTGCACGAGGAGGAATCAGGAGAAGACCGCTTCATATGTGTCCTCTGCCGTCACAGGCGTGGCCGTCACAGGCTGGGTCCATGTGTTCCACCGCGCTGCCCCACCACGGGTACATCGGTGGCTCCGTTGGTTCCACTGGCACGGTCTCTCTGAGCCTGGTTAGCACTCCCCAGTCCGTCTCGGTGGCTCCTGCGGACGGGGTTTTACAGCCCTTACTTCATTGTACCAAGAAGAGTGGTGGGTTACGACCAATCTTGGACCTGCAAATTTTGAATCGCGCACTTCACAAGCTGCCGTTCAAAATGTTGATGCAGAAATGCATTTCCGAGTGCATCCGTCCCAAGACTGGTTTGCAGCGATCGACCTGAGGAACGTGTACTTTCATGTCTCGATCCTCCCGTGACACAGGCCATTCCTGCGTTTCACCTTCGAGGGTCGGGCATATCAGTACAAGGTATTGCCCTTCGGGCTGTCCCTGTCGCCCCTGCGCAAATATGCGCTTCCCCCAGTGAGCCTACTCGCACAGACACTGTGCAAGATCAGGGAGGACGAGGAGCAGGTCTTGTTAGTGACTCCATATTGGCCAAACAGGACCTGGTTCCCAGAACACATGCTCCTCGGGACAGACCCCCCCCCCGGCCGGTTCCTCTGAGGAAGGATCTGCTTTCTCAGAGATAGGGCACCCTCTGGCACCCACGTCCGGATCTGTGGAAACTCCATGTGTGGTCCCTGGACGGAACGTGGAGGTTCTAGGTAACCTACCCCAGGAGGTAGCACTCACTATCGCTTCAGCATGAGGACCGTCCACGAGACGTGTTTGTTGAATGGTGTTCCTCTAACCGAGAGAACCCCTGGAAATGTTTGATCAGAGCCGTGCTTTCCTTCTTACAGCAAGGGTTGGAGCATAGGCTGTCCCCCTCCATCCTTAAGGTTCACATTGCTGCTATCTCCACACACCACGACCCCATAGAGGGGAGGTCAGTTGGGAAGCACGACTTGGTCATCAGGTTCCTTAGGGGGGCCAGAAGGTTAAAGGCCCCTAGGCCCTCCTCCTTACCCTCTTGGGATTTAGCATTGGTGCTAAGAGCACAACAAACTGCTCCCTTCGAGCCTTTGGAGTCAGTTGAGTTGAAGTTTCTCTCCATGAAAACCCTACTCTTGACTGCATTGGCCTCGATCAAGAGGGTGGCGGAACTGCAGGCATTTTCGGTCGAAGAATCGTGCCTTGAGTTTGGGCCGGCTGACTCCAGTGCAACACTGAGACCCCGGCCCGGCTACTTGCCCAAGGTTCCTACCACTCCCTTCAGGGACCAGGTGTTGAACCTGCAAGCGCTGCCCCTGGAGGAGGCAGACCCAGCCCTATCTTTGCTAAGTCCTGTACGCGCACTGCGACAGTACGTGTATAGAACTCAGAGCTTTAGGACCTCAGAGCAGCTCTTTGTCTGTTACGGAGGCTACACTCTGCTGGCTCTAGATGATGCAGCCTGAACCATCTCAGAGACTTCCATGTGCAATAAGACTCTTTTGGGTTACTCCACATGAGTAAAATGTCACTCAACCCCCTCTGGGAGGAGGTGACTCCGCAACGTGCCTCTTCCAAGTAGGAACGGCAAACTTTCCCAGTGTTATCCAAGTCCTAATGTTTGGGTTGCTCGAGGAACAGCAGTAGTCAACCTTCTCTGTGTAGAGCCCGGTCCTATCGTCTGCCTTATAGGAAGGTTCGGGAGGCCTACACAGGCCACTGGAGGGGGCAGCACCTGTGGCTCGTTGGTAGGGATTCCCAATTCGTCGGTCACCGACGTGACGTCGACAGTGACCGACTGAAAGGGAACGTTTCAGTTACATGTGCAACCCTCGTTCCCTGAGGGAGGGAATGGAGACATCATGTCCCATCGCCACAGTC